GGCTGTTTTGAGACAGAGTTGAGATAGAGTCTTGGTTTTTGTAGTGCAGGCAGACATTAAACTCACTATGTAAGCCAGGCTGGCCTTGAACACGTGCAGATTGATCCTCCTGCCTCAGCCTCCCAAGTGCTAGGATTTCAGGCATGTGCCACCACAGCTTTATTATATTGCTTTCTGAAATAATAATAACATGGCTAGGCTCCAACCTACATAACTGGGATAAAAAAAAAAGTAGACCGTGAAATGAAGAAAAGGCTTAATTCAATAGTTTAAATAGCTGTTATTATAATTAATATGCTAATCCCATAGAATATAAGTAAATTTATATTTTGTTTGCTATGGAGCAGACATTATTCTTTGAGGATTATATCATAATTTCCACAAAAGTTTTCTAGGTTTATGGTACTGTAATCTCCATAAAGACATTTAGGCCTCAAGAATTTATCCCACTCCTCTGATTACAGTGAGTGAGCGGCAGAGCTAGCATTTAAGCTTCAGGAGGCCAGATACAAATCCTTTGTTCTGCGTCATCACTTTCAGTGTGTGTGTTCCATTCATTTATAGAAAGAACTTGCAAACAAGGTGTTTCTGCCTGCTCTCAGGTCAAGTGTTCGAACAAAAATAAAATACATGCAATAGCTTAAATAGAATAGGTGTCTATGTCCCGCTTATATGAAGGCCATAACAAGGGCGGCCAGCCTGAAGGCAGCTCTTCTCCAAGCAGTGGCAACGGGTGGCTCAGGCTTATTTCGTTTATGCCTCTGCTGCCTGCACGGTGCGGTTTTCAGGGCTTTTATGCTGACAGTGTTGAGGTGGACGAATGAGCGAAACAAGGCAGAAAGCACAACTGCTCTTTATGTACTTTAGTCACAGCCGTGGCAAACCCCTCTTCTGCTAATACTCTATTGCTGACACGTTTTCAAAGGCTGAACTTCATCTCAAAGGATGACGGGAAATACAACCTAGCTCTGGGATGGGAAGAAGAAAAATGTCAAAAGACTCATCAAACTCTGCCGCCGTTTGCCTGCCAGCACCCACACCTTTCTCCTTCCACATAGAATTAGAAATGGCCGGATCATTTCTGAGCTCTATCTGAAAAATCTAGTGCCCTTGCTGATTAACAGGTAATACTAAAGTGCTTTCTCTTCTATGGAAAGTAATGTTGAATTTTCTCTCAGAAAATCTTTTATTAAACTCTCCAAACTATTTAGACAAATTTTCTAAAATCTGTTCCGGTACAGTTGTGTGTGAAGAGTCCACGGCATGTAGAGGCACAGAGGAGGACTCCCAGTCATGAGCTGGAGGTTTGACTCCTGGCCTCACTGCTTGGCAACGGCGTGTGCAGGTGCGAGGCCAGGGCTCAAAGAATTGGGCAGTGGGGTGGGGAGCGCTGATAGGGGTTGGGGCCTGGCTGGAAGAGGTAGCTCACCAGGGCCCGGCCTGCGAAGGCGTATTTTCCTCCCCAACTGCGCCCTTCCGTCTCTGCTTCCCGGCTGCCTTGATGTGAACAGATTTCCTCGGCCCAGGCACGTCCTCCGCGCCCCAACCACGTGAGGACTGTGACTTCTAAAATTGAGAGCCAAAATGAACCTCACTTTGCCATTGTGGCTGTTCAGGATTTTGCCCCAGGGACAAGGGAAGTGACGAAGACATGTGCAAAATAGGAACAAGAGTGCCCACTCTGTAATATTGTTAACACGAATGAATTAACATAGTCAAATACAAAATACCACACAGATAACCCTCATTGGAGTTTAACAGTTGATACCTACGCATAGTAATCTTTATTAATTAGTTTAATGTACTAATACCAACAGTCTCTCTGCAATAGCCAAAAGTAACTTTTATATAGTTCCTCATAGGTCAACTTTATATGAGAGAGAAAAATTTTCCTGGTTATTCACAGATGTACAGTTTTCTGATGAGGTATGATCCTTATTCTAAGAAGAAAGCAACAACAACCAAAAAGCAAACACCTAAATTATTAAGAGCAATAATCTGAATAATAATCTTTTGGTGATTCTTGCATTCTATCTATTTATAAAATAAACATGTTTATATCTTTTTATATCAGCTTTTATAACATAATAAATTTACTTACTACTCTTATATTTCTCTCTAATAAAGCCTTCAGTGGATACTATAGTATAAAAACTTTTGTTTTTGTTATAAGATCTTAATGCTCGTCTTTGTCTACACTGGTATCTTCAAGAATTTTACTTATTTTATCATCCAGCAGATTAAGTGTTTCTACTTTAATATTTAGATCTTTGATCTCTGTGGCAATGTTCTCCGAGAGGCCAGCTGGTGGCCAACAGCAATGATAGCATCCTGTGCAAGCCTGCATCAAGGATCTGCAGTGGGAAGGCCCAAAGGTCTGTTGCGGAAGCTAGAAAGTCTGCACCTACAGGATGAAGTATGCATGCCAGCAGGAAGAGAGACCTGACTGGAGCCAGGAAGCGTCATTCAAGGTAGAGGCCAGAGCTCCACTGTAAAGAGTGGCAGCCATCCTCAGCAACAGCGAGGGTCTGAGCTCCTCCAGGGTTGACAGCAGCTAAGCTCATAACAGGAAATCCAGCCTGACAAACCTCTCTAGGAAAGTCAATAGCTCACCATCTTCCCCTCCAGTTCTGCTTTTATGCTGTTGGCAGCAATCCTCAGGTAGGCCTTCCACACCCAGAACCGTGTTGATTCAGTTCAGCTGGGTGTTCCAAGATGCCCATTAGCTAATCCACAGCAGTGTTCAAATGGGCAGGGGAATTAGATGGGGTTGGGGAAAAAATGAAGGGAAAAGAAAACAAAGAGAATAGAAATAAATGGAAACACAGTATCCATACATGACAGGGTAAGGGGTTTTAAGGAATGAGATGAGAATAAGAAAAAAGGAAAAATCAAGGTATATCATGTACAGGGGCTGGTGAGATGGCTCAGTGGTCTAAAGC